ACGAAACTCCGTTTCCATCTACGGCGCTACAATAGTCGCAGCATAAAATGTTCTAGTGCATGATGCACTTGGCTAAATGCATTACACTATATACCAATCCAGCACTTTCCGGTCCGCACAAGATATATATTCTGCAGGTGCAAATCTCGGTTGAAAAGTCCTTAGGTGGTCTGCAGTTTCCGCATAGTCTGCCCTCGGTGCACAGTCCGCACATGCTGCTTAGTACGCAAAAAATAAATTATCATGCAAACCTTGAAAAATGCCTGTTTTATTAGTACACAAAGACGCCTCCTATCATACATAAATCATAATTAATTTACTCTGCGATTCAAGAAATTCCTCACGTCTCGTCATAATGAACGACCTAGCTAAACGAAAAAGTTGGGGCTCCAATCCACGCTGCGAAGGTGGTTGGTCAGCGAAGCTGTGGTATCACCTGCAACGATTGCCTACTGCACTAGACGAAATGCCGCCGCCGGTTGCAGCACGCCGCCGCTGGCCGTATCGCCGTTTCTTTTCCCTTTGCCGCTCCTAGTATTCACGCTGCTCCTCGGGAGTTCTAACTATGCGTGGCCTATTCATCGCGGTGCTGCGGCAACAATGAAATTTGTTGCTATACTCCTTTTCATCTTACGTATAAGCGCAGCGAATGTTACGAGCCATCGGAGCCAATCGGAGGCTGTGTGAGTCTCACGTGACTTTAGAAGGGGGGCACAGCGACGCGCGAAAAGCGCATCACGGGCCACGTCCAGAGAACGGGATTGGCTAAGATAGCTCGCAGCATCCACTGAGGCCGGACGTAAGGTGAAACGGGGTATAGGCGGGTTCTTCTTTTATGTATAAAAAACTAGTGACGTCACTCCCCACGCCGCAAGCTGCCGTCGCCGCAGCAGCTCGGGCAACAGTAATCTTCACCCTGAACGTATGAGGTGAGCGCTACGTGCTTTGCATTGTTTTCAGGAGCTCCTTATTATTCATTACATGGTTAGGATGCTTGTCTTGTGTGTTTTCTTTATTGAAACGTGTGTTGTGGTGGTATGTTGTATGCGTGGTCTTTGTGCTTTTCGCTTCAATCTTCCGAGGTATTTTTTTCCATGAGAACGCCGACACGAAAACACACGCGGGGAGAAGGAACGTGCGTCTCACTGTTCGCAGGCGCCGTTATCATCCATTATGTGGTTTGCACTTCACACTAGGGCTTCGAATAAGGTCAACTCCTTCCGAAGCAGCGGCAAACCTAATCTTTACTGGAACGCGTTGGAGGGTGTTCCTATTGTTCACACGCGCCTTATCATCCATCATGTGGTTTTGATGCTTGTTTTGTGGTTTTCTTTATTGAAACGGATACTGAGCTGGTATGCTGTATGCCCGATTTAAAAGGAGATATGCTGTCTTGCCTTCAATTATTCGCCGAGAGTTTGTTGCTTAAACGCCAACGACACGAACATTTCCTTGGCTGGTGGAGGTATACAGCTTCGCTGTAAAAAATTCATATATAGTTCACACTTGAAGATAGTCCGCACAGCGTAAAATGTTGACTTCTAAATATGTATAGTCCGGGGACTATAGTCCGGAACATATGGTAGTATGTTGTGCAGCGCTGCGAGAGTCGCGCGCAAAACAAAAAGAGCACCTTGGGAAACAACGGTGATGTTTTTGGAAGGACAATCGTTTACATTTGTCCAGAAAGAGTGCAGTAAATGTCGCTCTCAAGAGTTTGGGTGGTGGAAGAAACTGCCCGAAACGAAGACCCCCCCCCCCCCTCCCCCCCCCCCCGCCAGAAACGCAGACCTCCCCCAACACAAAGCTTCCAACCTAAGCCTTGCTTGGATTGATTGAGGAATTCAAAATCCCTGATAACCTCTCTAGAAGAACTGTGGGCTAGACTGACTCATCCAGTTTGGGGCAGAAGCGAATTCAACCTGGCTCATTCATTCTGTCGCCGCTGATGACATCATTCGAATTAGTACCAACCATAGCCTCCGACTCGCATAACATGGGATCGTTTTAGGTTCCTGCACGAAGCATCCACAACCTTCTTAAGTTGGCAATAAACGCCGTGTACCTATATCAAGTTCGTACGTGCTGACCTCGGGATAGTCATATCAAAAAAGTCACTTGCGATGAAAATCAGAAGACTCGTCTAGTCGGAGATGGCTAACTTCCCTGCCCGCAAAGGACAGAAGTAAAGACTAGGCTGTCTCAATGTACTTGACAATGTGTACGCTTACCCATTTTCGTCCTTAACAAAGCCTGCAAGCATTAAAAAAAAAAAAGAGCGGCGAAAGATTCCACGAGCAAAGGAATGTGGATGACGATGATGAGGTGGTTGTAGTTTTTATTGTGGCGTTGGTGCCATAAGGCGCCAATCTGTGTGCGATGTTCATTGTCTGGTTACAATAATAGTCACGACGTTTGTTGTCGAAAAGGACACGTAGACCGAGCCCCAGTTACGGACGTCCAGTGCCTCTGTGTTGCGACGGCATGAGACGCACAGTTTTCTTGGCGACACAGTAACTAAATAAGCAAGGTTATATTATATCACGAGGTATGATGTCTGAGGCAAGCCAGCAAGCAAACTTTCATGTCGTTTAACACTTGAGACTATGGTGCACAAAAGAAAAAAACGTTTAGTCGAAGGAGCAAACAGGGAACGCCTCGAGGTTTCACGTTGTACCAACACTAAGAAACGATTGCGGCCTCGTTTTTCTGCAGAACGCGAAGACAGTCAATCATGGCAAACAATGGAAGGATCCGAGAAAATGACGAAGCTCAGAATACGATTAGACATGAAAATGCGGTAGCGCAGGGACAGGGAGCAAACAAAACGCCGTGCTCACTATCCCTACGCGGGTCACATTTTTCGGTCTAATCGTACTCTAAGCTTTGCCATTCTCTTGGATCTTTCTATCGTTCGCCGTGATTGACTGTCTCCGTGTTCTGCAGAAAGTCGACTCACAGACCTGTTTTTAGAGCGAAGATGTACGATGGTTACGTACGTGGGGCTGTGGCATGAGCTGCAGTGGAATTGTGAGGCTCTTTGATCTAGACCCTGAAGCAAAGCTGCTTCCGGCTCGAAATCACCGCTACTAACCGCCAGAATCTATATCAGTGGCTTTTGTCTGCTCTTGTCCTATGTCCGCCGCGCTAATTCCTATTCGCGCAGGCAGTGTTTTCCAAATCGTTCAAGTTCTTTCGCGTCGTGCTTGACATTGCCAGCAGGAAGATTCGGGAACATGAATGAGCATCGACTGGTACTCAATTGTTTATACATACCGATCTTTATTTTGACTTAAGACGAGCCGACGCACAAGAAGTTGGCTCGTCGAAGCTCAAAACGGCGGACGTCGCCGAGCGGCTTCGAAGAGGAAAGACAACAAAGTAAGCTTGGGTTTAAGCTATAAGTCCACGATCGTACTTCTTGGCCATTGTTTGCTTGCTTCTGCCCTCTACAGACACAAAAAACGGCGCTAGACGACGTTAACAAAGAATCGCTTACGTGCATGCAAATAGAAAAAATAGCAGAAGGTGTCATGTGCATGTCACGGCTCACCAACAGCGACGTAGACAGCTTATCGGCGTTGGGTGTCGTAGTTTTTCAACTTGCTGCTTGGTAGCAGGTCGGGAAGTGGCGCAAAGCGCAATATTTTGGTTTGAATTTAATCGTATACATCTTTCGTTTTGCAGAAAAGACTTTTAGGTAATAGGGAAGATTTACAATAATTTTTTCTCATTGTTACATAATAATGTCTGTGTACAAGCGAGATGATCGGGCATAAATACTCTCCTTCCATAACTGGTATCGGCAGAAGAGTTTGAAATGAAATACGAAATGCTTAATTATAGTGGGCGCTCAAGAGATTTAGCTAGGGTTTGGAACCTGGGAGTGACTTATCAGGACGCGGAGTCATCGGAATATGCATTGCGTTTCGGAATACTCGGAATACCTGCGGATTCAAAAATATATTGCACCCAGTGGCAGTAAACAAAGCAAACAGTTGGCTGCAGTCATTGCCTAATTGAGATAGTTTGACATAAAAAACGCGTAATGTTGTCAATTAAATTGTACCTTATAGTCGGTAAGTACGATTTACTAACCCCATTAATTGGACTGCGCTGTCGAAAAGGGTCAGCCTATCGTCAAAATGTCAGCCGTCAAGACCTAGCCAATTGTATCTATAACCTTAGCTGTAGAGGTTCTGGGTCTTGGCACTAACTGTTGGCTTATCCGAGTGCGTAGAATACGTCCGCGTGCATTGGCATTTTGAAGAAGTGCTCAGAAGCGATTACTTTCGTTGTGCACTTTTTAATTAGTACACACCCTAAATTAGCAATTGAAAATAAATATTTGTGGAATCTGAAGAGTAAGTAAGACGCTCAAACCCTAGCCGCGAGAGAACGCTATTTTTAGTACTGCCTAAAAGCTAATTAGTTTGCAATTAAAACCTAATTGTACTTGCAAGGAAGACGAAACCAAGGATTATTTTTATGTTCTGTTTTGAACAAAAATAGTGTAGCTATTTTTGTTCATTGGAGAAGTCGCCACAATAAAACGAGGACAACTTATCGGTGTGTTTTCTTGAGCAAGTACCGAAATGCGCCATAAAAATCCTCGATCAATAAAAAAAAAAAAAATTGGGAGAATAGTTAAAGCTGCAGAAGAGGCTTGATTGATAGTCAAGGTGGAAAGTCGCTTCCCCCCCCTACCCCTCATAAATATATGAAATTGTTTAATAAACAATTGCATTTCACATTTCAGGGCCCGCAAACGCACATGAGTGCCTGTTTGCCGGACTTGGCGTACAGCAGGCTGCATATGCATAATTTCAAAGCATGCACTGGTCGCATTCATGCTATAAAACAAACACGGAATACATAAAACAAACAAGAACTTAAATTAGAAATCATTTAAAGCATTCGTTGCTGTTCTAAATCTCAGTGACTTTCAATACTCGCACGCAGGAGCGCCGCGTGGTGGCTAAGTGGAGATCCATGCTCACCTGCACTTCGAGGGCATGGTAGGCCACGATGAGCCCCATCAACATGATGGTGGACACGGTGATGAGCGTCTTCACCGCCATCGAGTACACCGAGTTCTGGAACAAAGAGAAAAAGAAAAAGAAGGCCAGAATGAGCGAAAGCACATGTCGTCCGTATTATCTTCTATGTCTCTTTTTTTTTTCGTAATTTAGACACCAATACGTGCAACCATCCACAGCTCTCAATTGCTCGGGTGAACTCAAAGATGTTGCATCTATCTTGCCGGAAGTCGCAGGAATACTACCCAAATATTCTGAAGCAATTTCAGGAAAAGACCAAGGCAAACCTCGGTACAAATATTATAGCGTTTAATAAAACATCCTTTATTGTAGCAGAAATAAATGCATCACAGGCTCGTCAAAAAAAGGTAAACACTTAAGTTATGCGACAGGTTTTCAAAACAATTGGATATGCTGGTAGATAAACGGGATGTAGATCAATATCGTAAACTCATTATTCGTGATTTCAACATTCCTGATATAAACGGGAATTTGCAACATATCGCTCTGTCAACTGGTACTGCCTCGCCTAAGGCGAATGCTCATTTTTCATTTGTTTTCAATTACCCAATTGAATAGTTTCCAAAACACAACAGGACATGTGCTGTATCTGACCTTGGTCAATTTTTTTTCTTGACAACATTTAATTTGTTTCCAGTCCACTGGTAATACCGGCTATTCGGCACGCTCCATTCTCCATTTCCTTCATGGTTTCCATAAGGAAAAAAAGAAAAAGTGAATCGCTTGCTTTCTCGAGAGGCGATTACTTTGGCCTTTATTATTATTTAAATAATGTTGATTGGACATGAATATATAGCATGACCGATGTAAACTGTGCCGTTGAAGCGTTTGCAAACCACATCGTAGCTACACTTGAACGTTTCGTTCCCAAAGAAAGCGCCCAGATACAAGTCGTCATTCGCACTGGAACTCTAGAAAACTTAGATCAGTTAAAAAGTTAAAACGAAAAAAAAAACAAAAAAAAAAAACCTGAATTATAATGGAAAATATAAGATTGCACCCAAAAGCACCAGCGCTCATGACGACTGGCACTTCAGGGAACCAGTCGTTATTCGCTTCTTGGTACCTGAAATTTTTGTAATCGCCGTGCACTAGCCAAAATTGCTGAAACGCGATAAAATGTTACACTGTGAGTCAGTAGAGAACAGTTTAAACCGTGACCCAATGCGTTTCTGGTTATATGCTAAGGACCGTAGAACTAGTACTTCGTCAAGTATAAACTTAGCTGACTCGTCTGACATTATGCTGAGTGAGCCTGAAGAAGTATCAAATGCATTCGCGAGTTATTTTTCCTCGGTTAATTTCTGTCCGCCGTACCGGGCATGCTAGTCGACAGTGACAATGCTAGTGGTCACTTGTCAATTTTATTTTTTGAACTTATGACATTGAACTTGCCATCAGGAAACCCAAGCCAAAGTTATAAGTCGCCTTTTACGGTATCCCAAACTTCATTGTTAATGGATACTCTTCTGCTTTTGCACCCGTCGTGACGTATATTTTAACTTGTCGTTGCAGAGCCTCACATTTCCTTCCCATTAGAAGAACTCTATCACTGTGCCAGTACATAAGAACGGCAGAACGGACGATGTCTAGAGTTACAGACCCATGTCGTTACTATGTCCGTTTGCAAAGGTCTATGAAAGGGTTTTATTCGATCACATTTCAAACTTTTTAAGCATCAAATTAGCCCTTCACAACATGCTTGGTGCGTGGAAGGTCTGTGGAGACAAATTTAGTGTTGTTTTTAAATTTTGCTTCGCGTACTGTGTGCCAGGGTAGACAGGTAAGCGCTGTATATTTTAACATTACTAAGGCTTTTGACTTGGTTGATAATTCGCTCCCTATACATATTCTAGGATCCTACGGAATGAGTAGATCACTTTGTTCATTGTTTCTTGATTACCTGTCCCATAGACACAATTTTGTACGCGTTTTTGGACATCTCACCCAGCCATACATTTTTCTTTCGGGTGTGCCGCAGGGGTTCATACTTGATCCGATATTTTTCAGCGTTCTTATTATTGACCTTACCTGAAGTGTTCATAATTCAATGATCTTGCCATAGGAAGATGATATCAAACGGTTTAGGCAAATCTTATCCTTGAATGACCGGAACGAGCTTATGGAAGATGTTAAATCAGCGTGTGATTAGTGTCGTCAGAAGATGTTGATTATCAATCATTCTAAAACTGTTTTTATGTCTCTGTCTAGAAAGGTAGGAAAAATCAATTGTTCCTACCGGATCGGCAATGTTCCGTTGCGAAGAGTCGAGTACACACGTGATATTGGTGTAGATTAGACTCTTCCTTATTTTTTGCTGTGTACGTGAATAACCTTATAAATGACTCTTTTCGTAAGCTGGGTGTCAAATCTAAAACTACGCGTGAGTTCTCCACGTCAACATGTAGTTTGCGATTATACCTCTCGTTCATCCGGCCCAAGCTGGAGTTTTCCTCTGTTGTGTTGAATTGTATTCGTTTTACGAGCCAAGAGAAGATAAACAAATTTCAGAAGCGTTTTTTAAATTTTTTACGGTCGTTATATTGGTCGTATTGTCTACTATTCTTATGAGAGACTCTAGAGAGACTCTAGGCGCCGTGAGCAAGATTAAGTTTTCCTGTATAAATGTATTCATAGATTAATTGATTGTCCTGGTCTCACATCAGCTATTAATATTTATGTTCGGAGACGATTTTTGCGGATTCCCCTCTGATTTTTCATGTTAATCAAATCATCCCAACCAGTCCCATGACCTGTATGCAACCCTTGTATAATACCCTAGGTGCAGCAGATATTGGTGCGCCTAACACAACTTTTGTGGCGTTTGTGACTAACCTGTGATCAATCTGTTGTGCATCATTATCAAGGCGTCAAGTTGTTCACGAGCATAGAAAATAAACAAACAAATGAATGAATGAACGAAAAACTTGGACAGCTGAGGTGTGACGCCGGAGCCGCTAAGGTGTCATTTCGGAGCAGATGAACTGAATGAACGGCAAAGGTGCGAGCGTACAACATGGTCAGCATATCCGTTTCTTAAACCAAGTAACAGATCGGGCAAAAAATTGCATCGTTGTGGAACCAATGAAGGTGTAATAAGTAAAGCGCATTTCGTGAACCCGTTGAACAATTTTATTGGACTACCTTGGGGTAATTTGCTGGACTATTTTATTGGACTACCTTGTGGTAATTGCAGAACACTTGGGAAATCGCGCGCCCAAGTTTGAAATCCAGGGAATGACGAAATTGCATGTGTATGCCTGAACCGTTCCTTGTCGTTGGTGTGCCTGCCTGAACGTATGATGCAATGTTATAGAACAAGGAACTAACACCCCTTTGTGGTCACTAAAGAACGCTTCCGAAATTACTCTCACATGTTTCAAACGTGTAGCTCCACTTAATTTCACGCCCGTGGTTTCACCGGCTTAACATGCCACCTAGCTTGATTCGTTTTATCGCCCGAGAACCTTTCTGGCATAATTAAGGAAAGCGCTTTTGTTTTTATTATTTCCATTATCAGCAGTCTCAGCAGTCTTGCGACATTATGATGCCCCCACGTGCCATCATAATGTCACGTGACGACGTATTGTGTCATTACGTCACAGTGTCACGTGACGCCATGACATCACGTGACTCACGGTGTCACCTGACGTCACTAAGCCGCGTGACGTCGCCGTGCAACGTTACTTGACATGGCAATGTCTCGTCATGATGTCAGCTGACACTAGGAAAACAGGTCGTGTCAAGCGGCGTGACGTCAGCGGCGTGCCGTCAATGTGAAATCTTTTGGCGGAGTGCCGCAAATGGCCCGCGTGTATAGACCTTTTCACCCTCCGCCGCATGGGCGCTGCCATCTTGGAATCACGTGATGCGGCCGCCATTAGGCTGCTTCAACTTGTTGCTCCGCTCTCTCGTCCGCGCCTTGGCGGATGCGTTGAATTCGTATTTTTCGTCGCGTTTCACCGCGTCTCTTGCCTTACTCCGTAAAGTGTTATCCGATACTTATACTTACCATGCAATTGCATTACATCATTATGCGCGCAACTTCTCTAGTTGATGTTGTAACACGTTTTGAATATATTTTACCGTCGGCGTGCGGGATACGTGTGAAAAGGTTTTATAGGAACAGGAATCAGCGTTAGCACTTGCGCACATTGAATACATACATGACTTGAAGAGAGCCTCGAGGGTTCAAATACCAATAACTTATGAGAACTGAGGTTTGGTTACTAATAAGGGCGGAACATTTGCAATAGGAAGCCCAATGTTATTATATATATGAGTGTGCATTGGTGTCAAGAAAAAAAACAACAAAAACACTCAGCGTAATTAGCCACGTGTCTTTCCTGAAAACATGGTGTTTTGTAGTTCCAACAGATCGTAAACAGTTTCTTTTGATTACACTAGGGAACTAGTGGACAATGCGTGGGAACAAACATTTAGTTTGAATTATTTTTTATGCTAGAAATAATGGTACCTTAACATTAGGCAACTTGTTTGTTCGCAATATCACACCTATATCTGTTTTACGTTCTTAATCGCGTGTGTGATATAAGCATTCGCTTTATCGGTTTATTTAGGAATTCCACGGAATTGTATATCGTTTCAGTTAATTTATTTCAACACATATATTTGAACTCCCCGCGTAAGAAACTGTCACAGACAGCTTGATAGTGCCTATGATTCATAAAATCTGACGCCGAAAAGAATCCTTCTGCATGAAAATCACCCGAGTGCAGCCGGTTGTCGACTTCGAATAGGGAGTTACTTTCAGTATAGATGGCGACGTCAAAATGTGCAAAGCGCATCGTTTCAAATAAGTGAACAGCTTTCTACAAAGGTCCACTGGGTGGCGCGTGGCGTTCGACTTCAGCCAAACTTATCGTAAATCATTTCTTTTGCGCTCTTCAATTTCATTCGGCAAATTTTACGGAAGATGAATATCAGACATTATTTGAAGTATGGCATTCACGTATCTCACCATTCTCATACCTCGAGAGCGTCGTAAGCAAATGCCCATATAACAAAAAGTTTAT